TATATATATACAATGGAATATTATGCAGCCATCAAAAAACCCCAAAATCTTGCCATTTGCAATGACGTGGATGGAACTAGAGGGTATTATGCTAAGCAAAACAAGTCAATCAGAGAAAGACAAGTATCATATGATCTCGCTGATATGAGGAATTCTTAATCTCAGGAAAAAAACTGGGTTACTAGAGTGGTGGGGGGATGGGAGGGATGGGGTGGCTGGGTGATGGACATTGGGGAGGGTATGTGCTATGGCGAGCGCTGTGAATTGTGTAAAGACTGATGAATCACAGACCTGTACCTCTGAAACAAATGATACATTATATGTTTAAAAAAAAAAAAAAAGAAGATAGTAGGAAGGGAAAAATGAAGGGGGGGAAACCAGAGGGGGAGACGAACTATGAGAGACTATGGATTCTGAGCAATAAACGAGGGTTTTAGAGGGGTGGGGGTGGGGGGATGGGTTAGCCTGGTGATGGATATTAAGGAGGGCATGTACTGAATGGAGCACTGGGTGTTATTAACATAATAAAATAAAATTAAACAAAAAAAAGAAACTTGTCCAACGTTAATCAGTTGGTAAGCAGCAGAACTGAGATTTAACCAGGTGGTCTGGTTCTAGCAGTTGCGATCCTTACCTCTACAATATTGGGCCTCTGATCATTTTTTATTTTATCTGGCTAATATTTCAGGTACATTAGCACCTTAAGAACTTCTGTGTAGGGCGCCTGGGTGGCTCAGTTGGTTAAGCGACTGCCTTCGGCTCAGGTCATGATCCTGGAGTCCCGGGATCGAGTCCCGCTTTGGGCTCCCTGCTCGGCAGGGAGTCTGCTTCTCCCTCTGACCCTCTTCCCTCTCGTGCTCTCTATCTCTCATTCTCTCTCTCTCAAATAAATAAATAAATAAAAAAAATCTTAAAAAAAAAAAGAACTTCTGTGTAAAATCCTGAAAACCTGAGCTCCCATTAAAACTCTGATACTATGAAGAAATGAGTTTCAAGTCCAAATGACATTTTTCGTAATTAGCTTAGCACCTTCTATGAACTATCTTAAATATACCATGATCTATATTCTTATAAAATGTAAAATAAAAGAACTAATTCTCAGTGGTAGATAAAAGGTGAAGAAATGGTAATGATACAGTCTTAGACTACATGCATATCTTCGGTCTGCTGTTGTGTGACACTAGAAAAAATCAAGTTCCTGAGGTCTTGATTTCCTTTTATAAAATAAAAAAGATCACGTTAAATAAAAAATAAGACATGTCTGGCCCCTGTGCTTTTATACCATGCAATCTTTTCCATTGGGCTCATGCTTGATCTCAGAACAATTATTTTTTCCACAGGGCATTGTAGGTAGCCACTAACCATTCACTCGTTCAGAAATGGAAAGTGCAATGAAACCTATTTCCACTCTTAGAATATGTTCTTTAAATTCCCTCTCAGTTCTACAAAATCAAACCCTAAGATACAACAAAAAAGTATGAGCAAGTATATGTTGGACAATACAGTTTAGAGCCTGATTTTGTCTATAGCATTACAGAAAAGACATCTTAGTGTCTATAAGATTCTATAATTGCTTCCAGAGAAAGATAAAGGGATTAGCCCACCAGGAAGGTGATTATATGCACATACACATTATTACTGTTTAGAGTTTTATTAGCCTAGCAATTATACATTTTAAGACAGGAATGAAAATACTGGTTTGGTCTGATGTCCCATGTTCCATAGAACCAACTGAAACTTATGGAATGGCTTTTAAAATATAACTTTCCTGGGGCGCCTGCGTGGCTCAGTCGTTAAGCGTCTGCCTTCGGTTCAGGTCATGATCTCAGGGTCCTGGGATCGAGCCCCGCATCGGGCTCCCCGCTCTGCGGGAAGCCTGTTTCTCCCTCTCCCACTCCACCTGCTTGTGTTCCCTTTCTCGCTGTCTCCTCTCTGTCAAATAGATAAAAATCTTTAAAAAAATAAAATATAACTCTCCCTTTTGGTATCTTTTAGTTCTTCAAGATCAAACTGCTTCTATATTAGGCTAATTGGGAGTATTGGGGAACAAGTCTAATAATCAGGGTATGAATGCTTTTGCACATACTCACACGACCTGGAGGGCCGCTCTTGGATTTGGTAGCAAGGGCTGTGCACCTAGGACCTAGGGCATAACCAGTTGCTCTGGGAAGCAGTCTGGACATGCCAAAACTAGGATTCAACCCAGGGCTTCCGTTCGAGATCTACACACGGAGAAGGGTAGGAGGGATTGGTGCAGGTAGTAGCCAGTTAGATACTAAAATAACAGAGAGACAAAATATACCTTAAGGAAATTTTGCAAAGCTTCTTCTACAGTTGAGGATGGTATTTTTCCAAACAGAGTAGCAGCCATCTTTTTCTCAATCCAGCTCAGTTTCGAGACCTGCAAACATGGAGGCAACATCACCTTTTGAAAGAATCATCTCTCCTCAATTAGACGTGTGTGTGTAGGTGTATATGTATGTATATGCATAGAATATATAAATATAAACATATCCATATATAACATACATGACAGAGATCATCTTTATGGTATTAATATTTTACCTTCCCTTTTTTATAGTTCTAACAAACTATGAGCTCTAAAAGCACTGATTACCAAATCAATTTGAAATACTCATGATAAGATTTGTGTTCAATCACAGAAAGGGATGGGGAATAATGCTGATCCTGTTTGTTTATGTGATTCAAGATTCTGAGATGACCACACAGTATTTCTTTGCACAGAGTTTCTTTGCACAGAGTGGAGGAGACCCCAACTTTGCTTCCTTCCTGCCAACCTTACCCAGAACACAGCATCTCAGAAGTGTAAATAGAAGAAGGATCCTTAACCCAGAGGGAGTATAGAGTGAGGGCCCAATATACATATTTACAATCCAGGAGAAAATTTTTTTAACCAGCAACCACCAAAATTAAATTTCATATTATCATTTATTTTTTTGCTTCCTTTCCCCCCCATTTTAATACCAGTATAGTTAACATACAGTGTTTTATTCTTTTCAGGTGTACGATATAGTGATTCAACAATTCCATATATTACTCAGTGCTCTATAAGAGAAGTGTACTCTTCGTCCCCTCCATCTAATTCACCCACCTAACCTCTGAAAACCATCTATTTATTCTCTGTAGTTAAGAGTCTGCTTTTTGGTTTGTCTCTTTTTACTTCCCTTGTTCATTTGTTTTGTTTTGTTTCTTAAATTCCACATATGAGTGAAATCATATGGTATTTGTCTTTCTCTGATTTATTTCACTTAGCGTTATAGTCTAGGTCCATCCATGTTGCTGCAAATAGCAAAATTTCATTCTTTTTTATGGTTGAAAAATATTCCATTATGTGGTATAATATACCACTTCTTTATCTATTCATCTATTGATGGACACTTAGGTAGCTTCCATAATTTGGCTATTGAAAATACGCTACAATAAACATTGAGGTGCATATATCCCTTTGAATTAAGGTTTTTGTATTCTTTGGGTACTTAGTAGTGCAATTACTGGACCATAGGGTAGTTCTATTTTTAATTTTTTGAGGAACCTCTGTACTATCTTCACAGTGTCTGCACCAGTTTGCATTCCCACCAATAGTGCATCAGGGCACCTACTTCTCTACATCCTCGCCAACACTTGTTATTTCTTGTGTTTTTGATTTTAGCCATTCTAATAGATGTGAGATATCTCACAATGAGAGATGAGATATCCCATTGTGATTTTGATTTGTATTTCCCTGATGATGAGTGATGTTGAGCATCTTTCCAAATGTGTCTGTTGTCCATCTGTATTTCTTCTTTTTTTTTTTTAAGATTTTCTTTACTTATTTGACAGAGAGAGAGATAGCGAGAACAGGAGCACAAGCAGGGGGAGTGGGAGAGGGAGAAGCAGGCTCCCCACCACACAGGGAGCCCAGTGTAGGGCTTGATCCCAGGGCCCCGGGACCATTACCTGAGCTGAAGGCAGATGCTTAATGACTGAGCCACCCAGATGCCCCTGGCCATCTGTATTTCTTCTTTGGAGACATGTCTGTTCATGTCTTCTGCTCATTTTAAATTGGATTATTTGGTTTTGAGTGTTGGGCTGTATCAGTTCTTTATGTATTTTAGACACGAACCCTTTATTGGATATGTTATTTGCAAATACCTTCCCCATTCAGTAGGTTGTCTTTTAGTTTTGTTGGTTGTTTCCTTCCCTATGCAGAAACTTTTTATTTTGATGTAGACCCAATAGTTTATTTTTGCTTCTGTTTTCTTTGCCTCAGGAGACACATCTAGAAAGATATTGTTATGGCCAATGTCAGAGAAATTACTATCTGTGCTCCCTGCTAGGATTTTTATGGTTTCAGGCCTCACATTTAGGTCTTTAGTCCATTTTGAGGTTTTGTGGTGCATGATGTAAGAAAGTGGTCCAGTTTCATTCTTTTGCATATAGCTGTTCAGTTTTCCCAATATCATTTGTTGAAGAGACTATCTTTTTCCCATTGTATATTCTTGTCTCCTTTGTCGAAGATTAATTGACCAAGTAACTGTGGGTTTGCCTCTGGGCTTTCTATTCTGTTCTATTGATCTATGCATCTATTTTTGTGTGAGTAACATACTGTTTTGATTAATACAGCTTTGTAATATAACTTGAAACCTGGAATTGTGATACTGCCAATTTTGTTTTCCTTTTTCAAGACTGCTTTGGCTATTTGGGTGGTTCCATACAAATTTTAGGATTGTTTGTTCTAGTTTTGTGAAAAATGCTGTTGGTGGTTTGCTAGGGATTGCATTAAGCCTATAGATTGCTTTGGGTAGTACAGACAGTTTGACAGTATTTGTTCTTTCAATCCATAAGCATGGAATGTCTTCCTATTTCTTTGGGTCATCTTTAATTTCTTTCATCAATTTTTTATAGTTTTCAGAGTACAGGTCTTTTTACCTCTTTGGTTAAGTTTATTCTTAGGTATTTTATTATTTTTATGATTATAAATGGGATTGTTTTCTTAATTTCTCTTTCTGCTTTTTAGAAATGCAACAGATTTCTGTACATGGGGAATTTGTATCCTGTGATACAATTTTGTATCCTGTGATACAACTCATTTATGAGTTCTAGTAGTTTTTTGGTGGAGTCCTTAGGGTTTTCTATATATAGTATCATCTCATCTGTGAATAGTGAAATTTTTTACTTCTTCCTTACCAATTTGGAAGTCTTTTATTTCTTCCCCTTATCTGATTGCAGTGACTAGGACTTACAGTACTATGTTGAATAAAGGTAGTGAGAATGGGCATCCCTGTCTTGTTCCTGATCTTAGGGGAAAAGCTCTGTTTTTCACCATTGAGTATAAAACATTAGCTGTGGATTTTTCATATAAGGCCTTTATTATGTTGAGGTATGCTCCCTCTAAACCAACTTTGTTGAGGGTTTTTATCATGAATGGATGTTGTACTCTGTCAAATGCTTTTACTGCATCTATTGAAATGATCATATGGTTTTTATCCTTTCTTTTTATAATGTGATGTATCACACTGATTGATTTGCAAATACTGAACCACGCTTGCATTCCAGGAATAAATCCCATTGATCATGGTGAATGATTTTTTGAATGTATTGTTGGATTAGCCTTGCTAATATTTTGTTGAGGATTTTTGCATCTATGTTCATCAGAGATAGTGGCCTGTAGTTCTTTTTTGTTGTTGTGTCTTTAACTGGTTTTGGAATCAGGATAATGCTGACCTATTAGAATGAACTGGGAAGTTTTCCTTCCTATGCTATTTTTTAGAAAAGTTTGAGAAGAACAGGTATTAGCTCTTCTTTAAATATATGATAGAATTCACCTGTGAAGACATCTGGACTTTTTTTGTTGGGAGTTTTTTGATTACTGATTCAAATTCATTGCTGGTAATTGGTCTGTTCAAATTTTCTATTTCTTCCTGTTTCAGTTTCGGTAAGTTTTATGTTTCTAGGAATTTATCCATCTCTTCTAGGTTGTCCAGTTTGTTGGCATATAATTTTTCACAATATTCTCTTATAATTCTTTGTCTTTCTGTGGGGTCAGTTGTTATTTCTCCTCTTTTTGTTTCTGATTTTGTTTGAGTCCTTTTTTTTTTTTTTGGATGAGTCTGGCTAGAGATTTATCAATTTTGTTTATCTGTTCAAAGAACCAATCCTGATTTCATTGATCCATTCTATTTTTTTTTTTTTTAGTCTCAATATCCTTTATTTCTGCTCTAATCATTATTTCCTTCCTTCTGCTGTATTTGGGTTTTGTTCTTTTTTCTAGCTCTTTTAGGTGTAAGCTTCGGTTGTTTGAGAGTTTTCTTGCTTCAGGAGGTAGGCCTGTGTTGCTATACACTTCCCTCTTAGAATCACTTTTGCTGCATCTCAAAGATTTTGGATCATTGTGTTTTCATTTTCATTTGTCTCCATGTATTTTTTTTATTTCTTCTTTGATTTCTTGGTTGATCCATTCACTGTTTAGTAGCATGTTATTTAACCTCCATGTAGATGTGGTCTTTTCAGATTTTTTCTTTTAAGCCTAAACAATGTATATTCAAGCCCCAGACTCATGTGAGGTTTGGTCAATGGTTTTGAAGCCTGAGGGGTCTTCTACCTTAATGAAGACTCAGATTCTTAATATTTAAAACTGGCATAATAAAAACTGGTTACAGGGATGTTTTAAGGATTTGACACACATTTGATACATAGCAGGTGTTCAATAAAAGAGCTTCCTTCTCCATTCCTAATCCTCAAACCTCCATTAAAAAGCTCCTTCTTTTGCTTATGCTAATTTTCTCATTCAGAAAGAGCATTTCTCTTCAGCATAATTTTTCATGCATCTCTTAAGGCAGATTTTCACATTCTGTTAATTCTCTATAAACTAACGTCATTTAAGACACTGGATCTTAGACTCGCTAGCTGCCTTGATTTATTTCTATATGTTTCATGTGCCTTTCTAAATTCAGTTCTTTGAAGACAAGAACAGTGGGCACATAATTTATGCTCAACACACTGATAATTGAAAAAGTCCTCTCACAAGACAAAGAGTAGTACACATGACGGTAGGTGGCTAATCACCAACTGAGAGCACAAAGGGGACATGTGATTGCTGCCAGGGGAAACAGAGTGGTCAGGGGAAAAATACAGATATATGTGTGTGTGTGTGTGTGTGTGTGTGTATAATCATATACTGTATGTAACACAGTATATAAACAAATCAATCATAAACTCATAAAATATATACTGATTTTATCATTTTCCTCACAGTAGGCACTAGGTAAAACACTTAAAGAATAAGTCACTGGAAATATATCCCATAATCATAGTATATTTAAACAAGATTTATAGATCAAAACATTCAACTTACAGTATAACAGTATCTTCCTTTGAGGTAATACAAAAAGGGTTCTTCAGGTAAAAATTGGATTGCTTTATCTAGATGTTCCTGAAAAAAAAATCCAAAACAAATACCATCACTCAGATTTCAGGCGGTGTTGCATGGAAGTGTGCCTAGTAAGTTCAAAGGGGCTTTACAGTGTTGTTTGGTTCTCCTCCTCAATCCCTATCATTAATACAAGTAAGTCTTACCAATAATTCAATTATCAGGAATGACTGCTCACAACTAGAACCAGACTGTGACTATGATTTAATTAAACTATGGATAATTTAAAGCCAAATGTCACTATAAAAATAGAAAACATCCAAGTGACATTTTTGTCTTCCCACTCCTTGCCTAGCTAATACTTACTATTAGGAAGCATGTTTGCAAATATCAAATGATGGGGATATAATGGGGGAAAGAATAGCAGAGCTAGGTGGTGGAGGAATCTACTCCCCTGACATTATTATAATGGTTATAGGGAGCTGGAAGACAAACTCTGACCATTTATATTGAGCTATCAAAGCTAGAGGCACATTATAAATGATGTACATGCACATTATTTATTTTATTCACTTACCATGTTAAGTTCAAGCCTTAGATTGGATTCTATTCCTCCCACCAAATCAATATGCAAGAAATGTTAACTAATTAGTCCCAGTCATGTTGATGATGTTGGTGAGTTCATGACCAAAAGACTAATCCTCAGTCTTTGAAAAAGTAATACTCATCTACTATGTGACTTCTTTCAAGATCCAGAATAATAATCCTCAATCTCCCAAATGTTTCATTCTTTTTTGTGCAGTACGATGAAAAAACTGTCACTTCACTTAAATAAAAAAGATAAATTCCTTAAGATTAATTCGTTGAATAATTTGATTTATATCTTTTAAGGGAACATATAGCTACATTAAAATATTTTTAATATCAAGAAATACCTTGAAGCGATGTCCATAGTTGATTTTGTTTTGTAAGCCCTCAAACTCAGATACATAGCCACACAAAACCGCATACCTGAAAAGGGTAAAAACAGTGGCTAGCGTGTGAACTTTTAATCAAATACCACTAAATGTAACATTTTATTTTATTTTTTTTAAAGATTTTATTTATTTATTTGACTGAGACAGAGACAGTGAGAGAGGGAACACAAGCAAGGGGAGTGGGAAAGGGAGAAGCAGGCTTCCCGCCGAGCAGGGAGCCCGATGCGGGGCTCGATCCCAGGACCCTGGGATCATGACCTGAGCCGAAGGCAGACGCTTAATGACTGAGCCACCCAGGTGCCCCCAAATGTAACATTTTAAAAATATCTCTAAAGCATTCATTAATATTTGAGAGAAGTAGTCATATAGATGCAAGGGCCCTAAAAATAAAAAATACCTGACATGAACATGAGGCCAGTTTCCTCACCTATAACTGGGGAGACTAACACCAACTATCTCATATGTATGTCGTGAGGGCAAAACACCCAAAACACATAATTGTTTAGACTACTACCCGGCACATAGTGAGTTCCAAGAAATATGAGCTTCTGCTATCACCATCATCAACAGCAAAGTGACAAAGAGGCTCTCTGAAAAAGTCTAGTCACACAAGTAATAAATTGAAAAATATATTGTATCATCATATCCCTGTTCCTCCTTAATAAAAACAGAAAAATTTCACAGCCTCCCTTAATGTCATTAGAAAACAAAAATAAATATCATGACTAAAACAATGTCAAAGGTAATTTCAGAATACACTTTTCCGAAAAATTCCCCATGATCTTCAATCCTTCCTTGGAAACACTGCATACTAGAATAGTGCATCCCATTAATTGTTTACTTTTTTTCCCCCCACTGGGAATACAAAAGTTACATCAATAATTATCTAACATAAATTGGGTGCAATATTTGTTCAGCAATTTGCTCACTCCAAAATCTGGGGATATATTACTTTTTATATCCAGAATGTTTCTATCTGTGCAAAATCTCCAGAGTATTTCAGAGTGTTTCTGTCTGAGGCAAAATATTCATTTACCTAAATATTTCAAGAGTAAGTATTAATTTTTACTTGCATTGTCATGACTGAAATGAAAGATGTAATTTTGGGTATTTATCTCAATCATTTCTGTGGATAAGCATAACTTTCAAGCACAAAAATGAAGTCAACGATTTTCTTAATTTGGAACAGTAAGACCCTTCCTGAACACAAAAGATCACATAATTCACACAACTTACGGCAACCAATAAAATAGTCACTTTTCAGTTATGACTTGTTTGACCTCTGAATTTTCAGTTTCTATATAATTAACCAAATCTGCTACAGTAGAAACATGAATGGTGACTAAATCAGCCTATCAAAAGTGATCTGAGAACTTAACTAGATTAGGAGATACTACTACTCACAAATTCCATAATCAGACTACATTACACATACATCTCTGCACCCACCAGAGATCGAGCATGTAGGAAAAGATTATTGGAAAAAGACTCATGAGTTTCCCTGTAAAACTGCTATTGTCACCTCCAGCCTCACCATGTTCTTTTGAAATGCTGTCATTTTGTTCTATCATTCCTCCCAGGGAGTTCCAGAAAGTAGAGCAAAATTCCATACAACTACTTCCCCAACTTCTCCCATTTTTGTTTATGGGCATTATCATTTTCCGACGCATTTGGACTTACATCCTTAGGCCGCTTTTTAAAAAAATAAGCTTTTGTTTTAAAATAGTCTGAGACTGCAAAGATGGTACAGAGAGTTCCCATATACCCATATTGGGTTTTCTCTACTCTTTACATCTTACATTACTAGAGTACATTTATCACAAGGGTACTGACACTGTCAAACAATACTGATACATAATTTTTACAATGTACCAATATTAATACATTATTATTAACTAAACTCCATGCTTTATTCAAATTCTTGTCTGTTTTTCCCTAAGTTAAATGTTGGCACTTTTCTCTGCATCCCTCCTTCCCACATTTACCCCTATTAATTCACACATGTGAAAATCTTTTGAATTACTATTGTCATTCGTCATACATCCTGTTCCTCCTAGTTCTCTGTTACTTGCAACTTTTATAAACGTATCTATTATATCTTTACCCACTGACAAAATCGCGGAACACTCTAGTGTCTAAGATACAGACCTGAAACCCTAGAATCACCTCCAGCTTGACAATGATGTTGCCAACAGTTATTCTGTTGAATAGCTGAGGCTTGAACCCTTCTCTCTATGTGGCTAACCCAGAGGCTTGCCCACATTTTGACATCTTGTCCACAAGAATGTTATCGGTAAACTTACATGAATGCCTTGCTTAAGTCCAGATATACTTGCTCAATTTCCCTACTCTACATGCTGGCAAAGAAATAAAAAAACAAATCATGTCACATTTTTAGAAAAATCTGTCAGATCTATTTGAACTTTTTAATCCAGATTTATAGAACAACCCAAATATCTGTGCTGGAATCAAAAGAAAAGAACGTATGTTCGCTGCTCTAGAGCGGTGGGATCCATCATCTACTGATGCTAAACGTCAGCATCAGAATGACTTCGTGCGCAGTGTTAGACATGGACACTGCTCTGTCAGCAAACTCTCTTCAAGCTACTCTGAGTGAGGACAAAAGGGGAAAAAAAAACCCTAGGACTTATGAATACCATCATATGAAATATGAGTATTTCCCTTATAAATAATCAGTCTTAATGCTTTTCATAATCTTTTTTGAAGTTTCTTTCTTTTTTTTTTTTTTCTGAGCTGAGATCAAGAATCGGATGCTTAACCAACTGAGCCACCCAGGCACCCCTTTAAGTCTGTTTCTTTAAAATCTAAAATATTGTCTATCTTCCTACATACCCTAAGTTCAAAGTTCATCTGACCACTTTTTCTCAAAGGATCATCACTTCTTTTCTGGTAATCAGTTCCACTTATGTCTTTGTGTATCTGTGGGTTTTTGTTCTTTTATGCTGTTCATCTTTAAACATGTAATTTAAAATTTTATTTTGTGAACCATCTCAAGTTGACGGGAACTCTGAAGAACGTTAATTCACAATATGGTCTATTACCTCCACCTAGAGGTCATTCTCACCATACAGGCTTTGACAAAAATTGTGATTTTCTTTGCATTGATATTGAATATATCTTTAATAAATGACCAACATTCTTGTTTTAACAACTACTAAAATAACCCCATTAGTTTCCCTGCATACTTCTGATTCAGCACAAATGCTATTTATACTGTGGGAAAGCAGTGGAAAAATAATGTAATAGAAAAATACTGAGTAAGAATAAAAGATCTGGTTTTTGTTTTTCTATTTATTGTGTGACTCTTGCATACTAGTCAGCATATTCCCCCCACACATTCCCTAGACACACTACCTTATCTATAAAATGGAAACAGGTTGTTCTGTGACTCATGTGCTGTAAGGCATGTGGATATAATTTGTGAACAGTAGAGCACAACAAATACGTAAGACATTATTTGTAATTAAGTTCAGGCCTATTGTGCTAACAAACTGTAAATCCACAGTGACTTTACTCTCTTGGTTCTAGAAGTATTTTAGGCTGGGTACAACAAAAACAACAGAATTTGTAGCAAACATTTTAGGCTTTGGGGTCAGATAGTCAAGGTTGCAACTATTCAACCTCATTGCTATGCACAAACGCACAGGTGTGGCTGGGCACCAATCAAACTATTTACAAAAATAGGCAGTTGGCCCTGGGCTGTAGTTTGTCATTTATGCTGAATGAATGAGAAAACATCTTAACATCCCGAAAAAGACTTTTTAATGATATTTTACTACAATTAATCATGGAATCAGTTAAGCTAAATTTTAACCACTGCTTCTCAAAGTTTTAATTTCTCTTTTATCATTACCCTAAACCTCTACTATGTAACTGAATGAAAACTTTTGTATTCACTACATAAATTATAATATATTCTAAGAACTAAGATAAAATTGACATTTGAATTTATTAAATTTTATCAACTGAATAGATTTTAACATTCTTTTTTAATTTAAAACTGATACTGAATAAGAAATCACGTGCAACACAATTGGATCATTACTCTGTGTGTGTGTGTGTATAAGATTTAAACTTGGAGTCAAATACCATAGTTATAAAAACAAGGCAATCCGTTCACAACAAAAAGCGAAAGAAGATGAACAAAAGAAAAGTAGCCAGACTAGCGTACGACAGACTGGGTAGCCTACTAAGGCAGAGTTATGTATAATTTCTTCTTACAAGATAGATTTCAAGGTACTTATAAAGCCCCCAGAGAAGACACAACATTGTTCCTCTATGAAAATTTGAAGCTTACACAGATAAATGCCCTCAGACTAAGGATTGAAATCCACTGTACATTTTATTTTTTTAAAGATTTTATTTATTTTTTTTTGACAGAGAGAGACACAGTGAGAGAGGGAACACAAGCAGGGGGAGTGGGAGAGGGAGAAGCAGGCTTCCCGCGGAGCAGGGAGCCCGATG